TTTTTTTGTTTCAATTTCATTTAGTTCTGCTCTGATCTTGGTTATTTTCTTTCTTCTGCTAGGTTTGGGTTTGGTTTGTTCTTGTTTCTCTAGTTTTTGAAGTGTGACCTTAGAATGTCAGTTTGTGCTCTTTCAGTCTTTATGATGTAAGTGTTTAGGGCATGAACTTTCCTCTTAGCACTGCCTTTGCTGTATCCCAGAGGTTCTGATAGGTTGTGTCACTATTGTCGTTCAGTTCAAAGAATTTTTAAATTTCCATCTTGATTTCATTTTGACCCAGTTATCATTCAGGAACAGGTTAGTTTCCATATATTTGCATAGTTTTAGAGGTTCCTTTTGGAGTTGATTTCCAGTTTTATTCCACTGTGGTCTGAGAGAGTGCTTGATATAATTTCATTTTCTTAAATTTGTTGAGACTTGTTTGGTGGCCTATCATATTGCCTATCTTGCAGAACTTTCCATGCACTGATGAATAGAATGTATATTCTGTGGTTGTTGAGTAGAATGTGCTGTAAATATCTGTTAAGTCCATTTATTACAGGGTATAGTTTAAGTTCATTGTTTCTTTGTTGACTTTCTGTCTGATGACCTCTCTAGTGCTGTCAGTGGAGTATTGAAGTCCCCCACTATCATTGTGTTGTTGTCTATCTGATTTCTTAGGTCTATTAGTAATTATTTTATAAATTTGGGAGCTCCACTTTTAGGCACATATATACTTAGGATTGTGATATTTTCCTGTTGGACAAGGCCTTTTATCATTATATAATGTCTCTCTGTCTTTTTTAACTGCTATTGCTTTAAAGTTTGTTTTGTCTGATATAAGAATAGCTACTCCTGCTCATTTTGTGTGTCCATTTGCATGGAATGTCTTTTTCCACCCCTTTACCTTAAGTTTATGTGAGTCATTGTGTGTTAGGTGAGTCTCTGGAAGGCAGCAGATTGTTGGTGAATTCTTACCCATTCTTCAATTCTGTATCTTTTAAGTGGAGTATTTAGGCCATTTACATTCAATGTTAGTATTGAGTTATGAGGTACCATTCCAGTCATCATGCTATTTGTTGCCTGTATACTTGGTTTTTCTTTTTTTTTTTTTTTTGGTTTTTTCAATTGTATTTTTTTATAGGTTCTGTGAGATTTATGCTTTAAAGAGGTTCTGTTTTGATGTGTTTCCAGGATTTGTTTCAAGATTTAGAGCTCCTTTTAGCAGTTCTTTTAGTGCTGGCTTGGTAGTGGTGAATTCTCTCAGCATTTGTTTGTCTGAAAAAGACTGTATCTTTCCTTCATTTATGAAGCTTAGTTTCACTGGATACAAAATTCTTGGCTGATAATTGTTTTGTTTAAGGAGGCTGAAAATAGGGCCCCAATTCCTTCTAGCTTGCAGGGTTTCTGCTGAGAAATCTGCTGTTAATCTGATAGGTTTTCCTTTATAGGTTACCTGATTCTTTTGCCTCACAGCTCTTAAGATCCTTTCCTTTGTCTTAACTTTAGATATCCTGATGACAGTGTGCCTAGGCGATGATCTTTTTGCAATGAATTTCCCAGATGTTCATTGAGCTTCTTGTATTTAGATGTCTAGGTCTTTAGCAACACTGGTGAAGTTTTCCTCAGTTATTCCCCCAAATATCCAAACTTTTAGATTTCTCTTCTTCCTCAAGAATGCCAATTATTCTTAGGTTTGGTCATTTAACATAATCCCAGACTTCTTGCAGGCTTTGTTTATATTTTCTTATTATAATTATAATTTTGTCTTTGTTGGATTGGGTTAATTGGAAAACCTTGTCTTTGAGGTCTGAAGTTCTCCCTTCTGCTTGTTCAATTCTGTTGCTGAGACTTTCCAGAGAATTTTGCATTTCTATAAGGGCATCCACTGTTTCCTGAAGTTTTGATTGTTTTTTATTTATGCTATCTATTTCATTAAAAATGTATCCCCTCATTTCTTATATTATTATTTGACTTCCTTAAATTGGGCTTCACCTTTCTCTGATGCCTCCCTGATTAGCTTAACAACTAACCTGCTGAATTCTTTTTCAGGTAAATCAGGGATTTCTTCTTGGTTTAGATTCATTGCTGGTGAGCTAGTGTGGTTTTTGGGGGCTGCTAAAGAACCTTGTTTTCTCATACTAACAGAGTTGGTTTTGTGGTTCCTTCTCATTTGGGTAGCCTCTGTCAGAGGGAAGGTCTAGGACTCAAGGCTGTTATTCATATTCTTTTGTTCCACAGGGTGTTCCCTTGATGTAGGACTCTCCCCCCTTTTCCTAGGGATGTGGCTTGCTGAGAGCCGAGCTGTAGAGATTGTTATCTCCTTTCTGAGTCTAGACACCCAGAAAGTCTACCAGGCTCCAGGCTGGTACTGGGGGTTGTCTGCATAGAGTCCTGTGATGTGAACCATCTATGGGTCTCTCAGCCATGGATACCAGCACCTGCTTCAGTGGAAGTGGCAGGGGGATAAAATGAACTCTATTTAGTGCATTATTTTTGTGCTTGTTGGCCTCCTGCCAGGAGGTGGCCCGCCCTTCCTTCCTTCCTTCCTTTCTTTCTTTCTCTTTTTCTTTTCTTTTCTTTCTTTCTCTATCTCTTTCTTTCTTTCTTTCTTTCTTTCTTTCTTTCTTTCTTTCTTTCTTTCTTTCTCTCTTTCTCCCTTCCTTCCTTCCTTCCTTCATTCCTTCCTTCCTTTTCTTTTCTTTTCTTTCTTGTTTTTCAGACTAAGTCTTGCTCTCGTCCCCCAGGCTGGAGTGCAATGGTGCAATCTTGGCTCACTGCAACCTCCGCCTCCCAGGTTCAAGCGATTCTCCTGCCTCGGCCTCCTGAGTAGCTGGGATTACAGATGCCTGCCACGACGCTTGGCTAATTTTTGTATTTTTAGTAGAGATGGGGTTTCACCATGTTGGCCAAGCTGGTCTCAAACTCCTGGCCTCAGGTGATCCACCTGCCTCAGCCTCCCAAAGTGCTGGGATTATAGGTGTGAGCCACTGTGCCTGGCCTAGGGGGTGGCACTTTCAAGAAAGCATCAATTGTGGTAGTATGGGGAGGAACAGGCAGTGGGCAGGCCCTAGAACTCCCAAGAGTATATACCCTTCATCTTCAGCTACCAGGGTGGGTAGGGAAGGACCATTAGGTGGGGACAAGGCTAGACGTGTCTGAGCTCAGACTCTCCTTGGGCAGGTCTTGCTGTGGCTTCTGTGGGGGATAGGGGTATGGTTCCCAGGTCAATGGAGTTATGTTCCTAGGAGGACTGTGGCTGCCTCTACTGTGTCATGCAGGTTGTCAGGGAAGTAGGGGAAAGCCAGCAGTCACAGGCCTCACCCAGCTCCCACACAACCCAAAAGGCTAGTCTCACTCCCACTGTGTCCCCCCAATAGCACCGGGTCTGTTTCCAGGCAGTGGGTGAGCAGGACTGAGAACTTGTCCCGGCTGCCCATCTCCCAGCTGCAAAGGCAAGTAGGGTTTTCGCGCTTCCTCTGCCTATGGAGTCTGCACACTGGATTCACGCCTTTCCCTGAGTTCTGACCCAGAGACTTCTCGATCAGTTCAAATTGTCACAGAGTTCAGCTAGAGGTGTTCTTCTCCCTGTGGCCTTTTCCCAATGCCTCTGTCAGCCCCCCCACAGGACCCCTGTGAGGCAAGGCAGAAATTGCTTGCTAAGGAACCCAGTGAGCCCACAGGGCTTTTCCTGCTGCTTCCTCTACCCCTGTATTTTGCTCAGCTCTCTAAGTTGACTAAGTTCCAGGTAAGGTTCACACAACTCATGCAGATCTTTTTTCATGATCTAGACCTTCAGGTTCCCTAGTGAGGGTGTGTGTTTGGGGGCGGACGATCCCCCTTTGCAACACTTTCACAGTTTGGGCACTCTCAGTATTTCGGCTGTCTCCCCAGTCCTGCAGGAGCAATCCACTTTCTTTTGAAGGTCTGTGGGTTCTCTCGGCTTTCCTGATTTATTCTTGCAGTCATTCTGGAGCAAAAGTTCATAATGTGAGCCTCCACATACTTCTTTGTCCATCCAAGCAGGAGCTGCAATCTAGTCCTGCCTCCATCTGCCATGATCTCTGCAAGTCAAAACAATCTATTTAGAGAAAGAAATGCACTAGAGCATAATGATGTATATCCAAGCATAATAATTACTTTTGAAATAGGAATAATAATTGGAAATAGCCTAGGACTTGCTTACTTTGTGATGAGGCTGGAAATTAGTAGGAACTGATTACTGTTTGCTGTATTCCTAGGACAGGGTTGAAACACGAGCACCTTTGTCTCTCATTAGAACCTACACTGTGCCCCCAGCATAGCTCTATTGTTTGGTTTTCTCTCCGACTACTGTTGATGGTTAAGGAAACCAGTGCCAATAAGCTGATGATATATTACTCAGCTCTTTTAGAGAGACGAATAATTAAACCTCCCCATCTCAACATAAAAAGGAGTTAATATGTTAATATACATACATCAGAATGTATCAAAGGTTGGTGTAAAAATAACGTGTATTAGAATAACTCGAGATGATTTAATGTTCATTAAAAGTGAAAAATTCTGGGCTTCATCCCAAACCTATTCAATTAGAATCTCCAAGGATGAGGTGTTACAATCTGTAATTTAACAAACTGCAGGTAATTCTACGTATTCTAAAACTTGAGAACTGATATGACGGAAAGTCTAGAAAAAAAATACACCAAAATATATATGGTGATTGTCTGTGGGTAATGGAAATTCAAAGAACTTTTGCTTTCTTCTTTGTGTTTTTCTGTTTTATTTGACATCCTACAATAAGCATGTACTGTCTTTGCAGGGGAAAAAAAGAAACCAAAGTAAAATAGTTTTCCAAAATAAATAAGCTATAGTCACAAGTCAGTTACATTAGGCTATGCTGGTTATATGTTGGTCTTTACAGTTACAGAACTCTCTGCCTTTTATATTTTTATCACTCAAGAAAGCATATTGACATATAAATCCATTGTGGTTGAAAAGTGTTATTAAATAAAAATTTAAACATTATTGATTGCACATTTTAGGTTTTCAAACTTGATGCCTCTGATATGACAGATACTGATGATAATATTTTTGAGGAGATAGAGAAAGTTGTTAAAATTCCAGAAAATCACAGTAAGTGTTACTAAATTCAAGAAAGATGGTTAACTGATATAGAAGACAAACTCTGAACCAATATGAGCTATATTTATATGTTTAAACATGTTTTTGACTGGTAATATTTTGTTCCTGTACCATTTATTTGTTCATATGTTTATTTAAAATTTGTGTAGTATTACCACATATTATATTACCCTGTGTGTGTGTGTGTGTGTGTGTGTGTGTGTAATTACATTATATAAGCACTATGGCTTCAATAGTCCTTCAGTTTACAAAAGAACCAAGTGGATATTAAAGGTAGAAATGAATTATGATGTGAAAAGCAGCAGCGGCAATCTACAATTTGCCACTGGTATTGCCTCTGAAATGGGACTCCAAATAATTTGTACATTTCCAGGCCAAAGCATACAACCCAAGTAGATTTATCTAAAATGAACTACACACCTGTAATATGCCAGACACTTTACTATGTGCCAGTGGGACAAAATATGTATATGACCTTGTCAGTCTACTGGAGGAGCACTGACCATTGCTTTCCCCACCCAGGTTGAACTTCTTATCAACACATCCACCATTAGTACATATATAATCCGGACTTTAAAAGAGATTTCTGCTTCTGCTTCTATTTTACTGAATTTTTGTGTGTTATTTTTGGGAGAGTACAGTGATTAGGCACCATTAGTTTCCTTCATGGGACTTTAAGGCAGTTCCTAGGGCAGGTATTAGAGCCCCTCTTAGCAGTAGTGGCTATATGGATCCTAGCTCTGCTCTTGGATTCTTCTGGGATATTTTAATATCTTTTTGGTGGTTATCTGTTTTCTGTCTGCATAGCGACCTATTCATACCTCCTCTATCCTGACCAATGGATTTTCTAAAACTGTGGAGCACAGTGGTGGGTATAGCATGTGTGCTATGGTCTAAAGGTTTGTGTCCCTCCAAAATCCATGTGTTGAAATTCTAACTCCCAAGGTGATGGTATTAGAAGGCAGGGGGCCTTGGGCAGTTGATTAGATCATGAGAGTAGAGCCCTCATTAAGGCATTAGTGCCCTGAAAAAGGAGCTCAAGAGAAATTCCTCACCCCTTCCACCATCTGAGGACAAAGAATGTGCCCTTCTGTGAACCATTAAGATAGCCCCCCCAGATAAGGAATCTGCTAGTGTCATGATCTTGGACTTCCAAATCTCCAGAACTGTGAGAAATAAATGTCTATAGTTTATAAGCTATCCAGTCTAAGGCTTTTTGTTACAGCAGCCCAAATGGACTAACACCCTGTGGAAAGAGGAGTAAATGGGTTCCAAGTGTGGTATACTTTAAACTCTGTTTGATTCTTTCTTCAAAGAACATCTAGTTCCCTTTGCTATTCCCCAGGTGCAACATATCTAAAAAATATTCTGGGGTAGGAGGGCAAACTTACAAATCATATTATTATGCAGAAGGTAAAATTATAGCTGTTTCTCCTAAGCAAATTGTAAGGGTTAATTATCTAATATTTTCTAAGTAAAATAGAAAATTTGCAAGATTGTAATGAAAGAAGACTGACATTATTCTCAGTTACATTAAAAATATTTTTCTCTCCAGATTTTGATTGGCAGTGGATTATCTTAGATGGCCCAGTGGACACCTTTTGGGTAGAAAATCTGAACTCTGTGCTAGATGATACTAGAACATTATGCCTAGCAAACAGTGAGAGAATAGCTTTAACTAATAAAATAAGAGTGATTTTTGAAGTGGACAGTCTCTCTCAGGCCAGTCCTGCTACTGTCAGCCGATGTGCCATGGTCTATATGGTAAGCTTTCAAAAACAAAAGTTTTAACAAAGCAAAAATGTTGTTTATGATAGTAACTATTTATTATTTACAGCATTTTATGTTTATTTTATTTTTGCCTTTGTATCCAGCAGCATGAACCCAATAGTTCCAAATCTTTGTGTCTCCCAAAGCCTCATAATCCAGAATTGAATGTGAATTTAATTATTACTGTTCTAATACTACTCTTAGTAATTGGAGTGTCAGTATTTTCCACAACTGTGAGTAAACAAATAGACAAATTAGGCTGCTGATATGAATTATTTTTTCAATAGAGGAAGATGTTCCTGAGACCTTTTCATACCCACTCTGACTCTAAGAACTTGGAAAACACATTATGAAGACAGTGGGAAGGAAGTACAAAATATAACATGAAGTTATTAGCTATATTTTCTATTCTCTATACATGAAGTTATTAGCTATAATTAGCCCTATGCTCTAATCTACTTAACTGAATGTTATAAATAAATCTAAATATAGGGCTGACTTCTGGGTAAGCAGTTCCCCTCACCACATACACAGAGCCTCAATACACCTTCCTATACATAATCCCCCAATTGCTTGTTTTCTTGTAAGACCATAGTTAGAAATCACAAATCATTCCAGAGGATGTACCATATTTTTATTTATTTACATAAGATTATATTTTACTTTTTATTATTAGGATCCTGTTGATCTGGGATGGGAGCCTTATGTTAAGTCATGGCTTCTGAAAACTTCTAAAATTATAAGTCAATCAGGAGTGGATTGTCTTGAATTCATGATTAAAAATAGTGTCACAGACGGACTACAATTTATAAAGAATCGTCAGAAATTTCAGCCATATCCTATGGAGGACATAACAATCATCATAACCCTCTGCAGAATTCTTGATGCTTTCTTTGACTTCATGGGTAAAAATGGAGGATTTGAACAAAGTGAGTTTTTCTCTCTAAGTCATGTCAATGATACATCTTAACTAGTCAATGCCAATTTATCACCGTATATTAGATTTTAGAAAATTTCTCAAAGAGCAAGCATTTTTAGTCTATTTGGACCAACAGCAGATATGCACATGGAACAAACTAAAAACCATTTATGGAGGAACATATCAAAAGTAAATTAGTATCATACAAGTGTTGAAGGATCACAGGAAAAATGATTGTAAAGAACCACTAGAGGGTCTCTATTAAAGGAGAATGTTTTCACTGGATTTTAAAGATTTTTAGAGTTAGAAATAGTGAAAAAAACCTGTTCAGAATTCCAGATGTAAGTTGTAATCACACAAAGGCATAATCATGAAAAGTAGTAAAACATATGTAAGGAAGGATAAACAGATTCAGAAAATCATATAGTATTATAGATAAGGTATTGGTATTGTCTTTGAAGTCAGAATCCCTAAATCTAAATGCTGGTTTTATGCAGTTTTTGGTAAGATGGCAGATTAGCACAGGTTCCCAATTCTTTCTCTCAAACCAATTTTGGATTCATCAAACCAATATAGAAATCATTATAAATCCCTGAGGTGATGTAATATGGTTAGATCCCAACAAGAGGAAGCGGCAACCCTGAACAACCATGGATGCCATGAATAGGAGATAAAGTGGAAGAAAATATTTAGGTGTGTACTTTCCCCATCAACTCAACTCTGAATGGGCTATTGTCCACTGTTTGCCAGTTAGCATACCACAGCACAGCCAGGGGCAGCAACAAAATATCCCATTGGCAGGGAAGCCTATCTAGGTTTAGGGAGTAGGTAAAAACATATTTTCTCCTACTGCCACCCCTCTTCAAATCTTAAAGCCAAGATGATTAAAAAAGAGAGACCACACTTAGAAAAAGAACAGTGCCAGAGTAGATACAGATTGTTAACACACAAGTGACCTGCTTTGAAGAGTGACCACTCCCTCCCTAGATTCACACTTCTAAATTCATCAGAAGTACAACCCAGGAAAGTTACAGTATTGGAAACAAAGCAAAAAGAATCAGTTAAAAAAAAACAGCAACTGGAGGATATGTATTAGTTAAAATAACATAATAAATGGGTTGAATGCTGGATTGGTTAGCTGTATAGCAGATTAGTGAGGGCTATAACAACAGCCAAGGAACTCTCAGAATGCATCAGGAAGAGCTAAAGAGGTTAAATATTATGTATTTTAAATATACAACAAATATGTTTTTATAATACAGAAATAATGTGTATATAGTTGAAAGATTAATAAAAATTGAAAGGTTATTCTGTTATATTATTCATATAACAGAACCTCCAGAAAGATATAGTAAAATAAATAGAGGGGAAGAAATGTTTCAGGGAATAATTGCCTAGGAGTTCAGAGAATTAGAGAAAATGTGAGACCTAAGATTGAATAGGATCCTGGAGCATTAAACATGACAAAATGTAAAATCCCACACCTAGAAATGTTATATAGATATATTTTCCTACACCTCTTGGATGTTCTGTTCTTTTTTGTTTGTTTTCTTTTTTCTCTTTGTGTTTGTGTTTGGTTGATTTCTATTGACTTGTCTTCCAGTTTACTGATTCCTTGCTCTGCTGCATGGAGTCTGCTATAAGCCCGTTGAAACAATTCTCATATTTGATATTGTGGATTTTATTTCCAGCATTTCCCTTGACCTTTTCTACAGTTTTCATCTCTCTGCTGGAATTCCCTCTCTATTCATGAATGATTTCTTCCTTCAACATTAGATCTTTTACATTTTAAGCATAGTTTTTTAAAAATAATTCCTGCCTGATAATTTCAACATCTGGGCCATCTCTGGGTCTGTTCCCTTGACTGCTTTTTCTCTTGGCAACATGACTTTTCTTAATCTTGCTTATTTTTATGTCTCATAATTTTTAATTGAATACCAGATATTGTGTATAAAAGAAATTAGAGACTGAGGTATACAGTAGTTATACCTGGAAATGGACATGCGTTTTCTTCTGCCACATTGTTCAGGTAGTGGCATGGTGGGTTGAGTCAATACTGACCTAGCTTTGGCTTTTAGTGTTACTGTAGTTACCTTCAGTGCAACACAGACTTTAAATTTTCCATGCTCCTGTACCTTTCCTGGCAATAGATTGCTGTTTGTTACTTGGTTCAAGGCTCATGGTGGGAACAGGGGAGATTTACAGATTCTCATGTTATAGCCTCATTTTAAGGCAGGGTCTGTGCACCTGAGCCTCAGGCGTGGCATTTCTCAGCAAAGAAACAATTTATTGTGAATATCTAAGTTCAATATCAATTTATGAATAATACCTAAGATTAAAGAAAAATTCTCAGAAATTTCAGAGTGAGAAAGACAATAACAAGAGGAGATGAACACAAGATTTGTTAATATCAATGTGGTTCAAGAAGAAATGAAGTAGTGTTTTTAAAGTGTTTTATGTTTAGCTAACATATGATTTAAGCATGAAAAGTGCCAGTCTGCAGGTCCCAGTGAGATCAACACAGAAGGTGGGTGATTTCTGCATTTCCAACTGAGGTACCCAGCTCATCTCATTGGGACTGGTTAGACAGTGAGTACAGCCCACAAAGGGTGAGCAGAAGCAGGGTGGGGCATCACCTCACAAGGGAAGTACAAGGGGTCAGGGAACTCCCTCCCCTAGCCAAGGGAAATTGTGAGGGACAGTGCCATGAGGAACAGTGCATTCTGGCCCAGATACTACACTTTTCCCATGGTCTTTGCAACCTGCAGACCAGGAGATTCCCTTGGCTGCCTACACCACAAGGGCCTTGGGTTTCAAGCACGAAACTGGGTGGCTGTTACAGGAGACACCGAGCTAGCCTGCAGTTTTTCTTCATACCCCAGTAGGGTACTTACTAGCCTGGAATGCCAGTAAGACAGAATCATTCACTCCCCTGGAAAGGAGGCTGAAACCAGAAAGCCACGTGATCTAGTTCAGCAGATCCCACCCCCAGGGAGCCCAGCAAGCTAAGATTCACTGACTTGAAATTCTCGCTGCCAGCACATCAGTCTGAAGTTGACCTGGGACTCTCGAGCTTGGTGTGGGAAGGGGCATCCACCATTACAGAGGCTTGAATAGGTGGTTTTCCCCTAGCTGTGTAAACAAAGGAACTGGGAAGTTCAAACTAGGCGGAGCCCACCACAGCACCGCAAAGCCGCTGTAGCCAGACTGCCTCTCAAGATTCCTCCTCTCTGGGCAGTGCATTTCTGAAAGAAAGACAGCACCCCAAGTGAGGGGCTTATAGATAAAACTCCCATCTGCCTGGGACAGAGCAGCTGGGGGGAGGGGTGGCTGCTGCTTCAGCAGACTTAAACATTCCTTCCTCCTGGCTCAGAAGAGAGCAGATCTCCCAGCACAATGCTCGAGCTCTACTAAAGGACAGACTGCCTCCTCAAGTGGGTGCCTGACCCCCAAGCCTCCTGACTGGGATAAACTTCCCAGCAGGGGCCAACAAACACCTTATAGAGGAGAGCGCCGGCTGGCATCTGGTGGGTGCCCCTCTGGGATGAAGCTTACAGAGGAAGCAGCAGGCAGCAATCTTTGCTGTTCTGCAACCTCCGCTGCTGATACCCTGGCAAACAGGGTCTGGAGTGGACCTCCAGCAAACTCTAACAGACCTGCAGCCAAGAGTCCTGACTGTTAGATGGAAAACTAACAAACAGAAAGGAAGAGCCTCAACATCAACAAAAAGGAAGTCCACACAGAAACCTCGTCTGAAGGTCACCAGCATCAAAGACCAAAGGTAGATAAGTCCATGAAGATGAGGAAAAACCAGCACACCAAGGCTGAAAATTCCAAAACCCAGAATACCTCTTCTCCAAAGGATTACAATTCCTTGCCAGGAAGGCAACAAAACTGGAAGGAGAATGAGTTTGATGAACTGACAGAAGTAGGCTTCAGAAGGTGGGTAATAACAAACTCCTCTGAGCTAAAGGAGCATGTTCCAACCCAATGAAAGTAAGCTAAGAACCTTGAAAAATGGTTAGAGGAATTGATAAGTAGACTAACCAGTTTAGAGAAGGACATAAATGACCTCATGGGCTAAAAAACACAGCAAGAGAACTTGATGAAGCATACACAAGTTTCAATAACTGAATAGATCAAGCGGAAGAAAGGATATCAGAGATTAAAGAACAATTTGATGAAATAATGCATTAAGATTAGAGAAAAAAGAATGAAAAGGAACAAACAAAGCCTCCAAGAAATATGGAACTATGTGAAAAGACCAAACCTAGGTTTGATTGGTGTACCTGAAAGTGGGGGGGAGAATGAAACCAAGTTGGAAAACAGTCTTCAAGATATTATCCAGAAGAACTTCCCCAACCTAGCAACACAGGCCAAAATTCAAATTCAGGAAATGCAGAGAACAATAAAAAGATACTCCTCGAGAAGAGAAACCCCAAGACACATAATTGTCAGATTCACCAAGGTTGAAATGAAGAAAAAAATGTTACAGGCAACCAGAGAGAAAGGTTGGGTTATCCACAAAGGGAAGCCCGTCAGACTAACAGTGGATCTCTCTGCAGAAACCCTACAAGCCAGAAGAGAGTGGGGGCCAATATTCAACCTTCTAAAAGAAAAGAATTTTCAACCCAGAACTTATTTATTTATTTATTTATTTTTATTATACTTTAAGTTCCAGGGTACATGTGCACAACGTGCAGGTTTGTTACATATGTATACCTGTGCCGTGTTGCTGTGCTGCACCCATTAACTCGTCATTTACATTAGGTATATCTCCTAATGCTATCCCTCCTCCCTCCCCCCGACCCCACGACAGGCCCCAGTGTGTGATGTTCCCCTTCCTGTGTCCAAGTGTTCTCATTGTTCAATTCCCACCTATAAGTGAGAACGTGTGGTGTTTAGTTTACTGTCCTTGCAATAGTTTGCTCAGAATGATGGTTTCCAACTTCATCCATGTCCCTACAAAGAAGATGAACTCATCCTTTTTTATGGCTGCATAGTATTCCA